GGGGATGGTGATGCAGGAAGATTTCCACAAAACATCTCTTGTGTTAAATATCATCAGCACTGTTTGAATGAAAGTACTAAAAATAAAAAGATTTTTATATATTTTCCTTCAGCACTGTTCTTATTTTGACATCAAATGTGCTGATCTATCTATGGAAGGTTCCAGCTGTTGATTAGATTAATTAAGTCTAAACCGGGTGCAGGTCCAACAGATGAATGCAGAGAACCCACCCTCAAATGTGAGAGCACATTATGAAGTAAGACCTACTGGAAATGTTGCGTTCATGTGCTCAGACTCTGGTCGGGAACAAGCCTCATGGAAAGTTTTACTACTTCACACCATCCCAAAACATTTCCAGGATACAAAAAGGAACACTGTTGGGAGTGGGGTGTGTGTGTGTGTGTGTGTGTGTATATATGAGTGGACCGCTCTGTAGTTGGTAAGGTTAGGTGACAAACTAGTGTGCCGGTGTTTTTATGAGGGTGGGAGTAGGTAGGTGATGCATGTGTGTGGGAGTGTGTGGGAGTGTGTGGGAGTGTGTGTGTGTGTGTGTGTGTGTGTGTGTGTGTATGTATAAGCACTTTCTAAACACTTCACTCACTACACTCACTTTCTGAATAAACATTGTGGCCTCGAAGGAGAACTCAGTACGTCATGCATTAATCTTTTCTTTATATATATATATATATTTATATCTATCTTTTTACTTATTTTTCATTTATTTTTTTGGAACTTGGGGGCAGCACAAGTTACAAGGTATAACACAACATTGACATATTACCACCTAATAAAGTTGATATGTGTTAGCAAACAGTGGCTTATTCACATATTGAGCAGACGTGGAGCAACGTTAGTCTTCATTTGGAGCTGTGTCTCTGGCCAACCACCGAATCCAAGGCAAATATTCACTCTCCATTTAGATCTGTTGCTTTCGACTCCTGAGGGAAATATAAGGCTCTTTAGCTGCTAAATGCTCCACTATGTTCAACCAGCTCGTTGCTAACTTTGCCTGTCTGCTGTTTGCTGCTGGGCAGGAAGTGTACAGTGGGGCTTGTCAGAGCTTTTTTTTTTTTTTGTTGTTGCTAAAAATGGCTGCCTGCTGCGCCTGGAAATGGGGTTAATGAAAGCAGCGAGGGTGAAACAAAACAGTGAAGTTCTCTAAGAGCTCTATGAACTTGCTGACCTCAAGCAAGTTCAACCTCAAGCAAATCCAGTTGCCTTCGTATTCAGTAGTTCTTAGAGATACCATGACCTGGATGACTGACAGACGAAACCATAAAAACCAAAACATCGAGCTGAAAGATGCGGAAACCCTCCATAGAGCTGAGGGAAAATACAGATTCAGATGATATTTCTTTGTGGGCTTGTCACTATGAGTGACTGCTTTTCTTATTATACATGGTTATTTCATCAATAAAAATACTGACTAAAGCAGCTTTAAATAATTTAATACTGGTATTAATCCACTGTTTGGATTATTTTATGTTCCTGTCTGGGGTCAGTACAAATGTACACTTACTGATTTTTGACACCATCAAATAATATATTGGTCAAGGACTTTACACTGAAAAATATCATTAAACTTACACGAAATTCTTTTATATTCTTGTTTTCCCAAGCAGTTACATTTTAGTTAAACTATATATTATATTTTACTTGTATCAGTGCCTGGATATAGTAAAAAGTATCTACTCCAGATACAATCCTCAGACCAGAACAATCATCGAAGGTCTTGCAATCTGACAAAGAAGCCTGTCGCCTGATGAGCTCCGCTATAAGAAAACCACCTGGCAGAAATTGACTCAGGCAGTCATTTAGACAGCCCAGAATTGAGGTCGAGGACCTCTGCATGAATGCAATTCAAGTCTCCTTTTACTCCAGCACAAGGAACCGGGGGGAAAGTGTCATCGCAATAGCAGATTTATCAAAATGAAATAGATCCTGGAACCGATGCTTAGCACTGAAGAGCTGAGAAACAACTTTTATTTCTCCTTTGTCTTTTTTTTTTTTTTTCTTGCAAAAGCAATACCCTTTCCTCAGAGATCCAAAGATGCAAAGAAGAGATCAAATAGCACCTTAGGGAGAGGGGAGGCTTTTTCTCCTTGTTATTTCCTTTTATTTCCACCTAGCACATGGGGTCAAATAATTAGTATGCATTAGGTGTGTAAAGTGAGTAAAAGATATTCAGAGGCAGACTGATTGAGACTAATTAAGACTGAGATGATGAAAAAAAGCCAGAAAAAAAAGGCAGAAATTCACCTGCCTCAAACACAAATATCATCCATGTATCCCACCACAGAGATCCACTGTAACCACTGTGCTCCCGGGACTGGACAGGCAGAAAACAGTCTCTTGATTTCTTGTACGCTTTACTGTACGTGACTCTTGGTGCAGGGTTTCAGACTAAAACCAGCACATCACTGTTATCTAAGAAACAGATAAATTGTATTAAACCCTGACCACCAACATTCCTGTATGATATCACTGCTCTCAGGAGCAATTTCAGAAATCCCTTTCCAGGCAGCATTAGCATTACGAGAGATGATGCGGTGAGAGACGGATACGGCTCAGAAATCAATAAGGCAATGCTGATATACTTCCTCTCGGATATATTTTTGACACCAGCAGCACGGGTTCCCAGGCGTTTTTTATCTGCCTTCAAATACCAGTAAGTGACCTGCTGTATTTTAAAGTAGCAGAGTAGCAGAATCCCTCTTAGCAATAATACAACCTCACTTGAAAAAGGGCTCTGGCTTTTCTGCCGCACTGTGGCCGATGTGATGTGAATCATTTACACAGGCGTGCTCTTGGATTATTAACATCCATGTGGATATACTGACGTGCACGGGCAAAAAATATGACAAATAACCTCTCCTGGTAACACTAATAACTTCCAGAGAGGGTTTTTTACTAAAAGCATTTCCATTACACACGCTGAATTCAGCAAATTTAACACCACAGAAACACTCGAAGGATCCCGACCAAAAAAAGCTGAAAATATTTTCAAATGATCTCGCACAATCAGATACAGATTCGTTTTAATTAATTCGCAGGTTAAAGGTTATTTTTTTTCAAAGACAAGTGGCATTTTGATATTTGCACTTCTCTCTCCACCCACTTCATCAAATTTTCAACGATTCAACAATATCCACATTTCAATAATGAGCTCTTTCACATGCTCTCCTGCCCCCCCCCCCCCTTTTTGTCTCCGGTAATTACTTGTTGGACACGAGCAGTATCAAACATTGTGTGCAGCATAAACAGCTGTTGACACACACACACACACACACACACACACACACACACACACACACACACACAGCAGGGTGCGTGTTGAAGGGCAGAATGGACACCAAAATGGTAAAGCTAATTAAAAATAATTAGCTGCGTGGGCTGTCAGTGTACCGGCCATTCAAGCATCATCAGAACTTAACATGATGCTGTTAGAGATCAGTAAAGTTCAACATCATGATGAGGACCATTACAGAATTTCTACATAGACATAACAGTGTTTGGACTGCAAGTGGAGAGCTGTTAAATGATTGAAATCAAATGAAATGAAAGAATAAACACCAGTGTAAAGGTATTTTTTGATTTATCTTATGCTACTTTACTCTTATATTATCACTACCTTCCAGATGGAAATATTTTACTTTTGATTCCACTGCATTCATGTGGCAGCTACATACTGTATATATCATTAATTACTTTGCAGCTCTTCCACCTCTGATTATATCTATCTTCCAGAGTCCAACCCCAGTCAAACATTCACACAGAAAATGTGTGAAAACAGCTGGTTGAAAAATATCATTTTACACTTCAGTAACTAAAAAAAAAGACGAAAAACAGATTATTTCTACAGAAATAACATAAAAAGTCCACTCGCTATGAATAAAATTTGGTGTAAATCCAGACTCCAGTCTTTAAACAGGGAGAAATGGTGGTTATACAGAAGTCAAAGTTGAAATATTCATGATTCTTCCACATTCCCATTACCACCTGAGTGAAAACAGCAAATTGAATTCTAGATTAATTTCTCCTGTTCTTTTTTTTTTTTTTTAAACTTGGGTTGTGTGTCTGTTCACGCCAATCGCCACAACTGTGCAACAGAAGAAGCAAATACAACTTTATTAAGAGCACAAGTAAGACTTTATAAAACTCTCTCACCGTCTCTGTCCTATTGTTTCTCACCCTCTCGGTCTCAATCATGTCGTCTCACTGCAACACACACACACACACACACACACACACACACACAAACACGCAGCGGCACCCAGAATCCATGTCGCTATGACAACTCTGCCAGGCCCCTGCGGCGGGGTATCGAATGGGATTCCTCTGCTCATTATTTCCTCAAATGCTTGCTCTGGCTTCTCAGATTTTTTTTT